GGACCTCTTCCTAGTCGGCCTACAAGATCCAGTTTGAGGTTGTTATGGAGGCGAACGGCTGGAATAAAAGTCAGGCCATGACTGCACTCACCCTAGGCCTGCGCGACCAAGCCTTAACTATTTTGGAAGCTCTCGGTAAGAAAGTGACTTACGAGCAGCTCCTTGAGGCATTGGAGGCGAGATATGGTTATACTCTATAGTTATAGGATAGGGATATACGCTCACCTGGAACAAGATCGCGTACAACGCAGCAAAGAAAACCTGGAGCAGTGGGCCCATGAGGTTGAGAAGCTGGATCGAAAGACATACTGGTCTGCACCTGCGCTCATTGAGGGGAACCTGGTGCAGATATTTATCGACGACATCCACGACCTTGCAGTCATAGCTGCTGTGAGGCTCGGGCACCACGTGACGCTTAAGGGAGCCTTGGCCCATGCACTGGAGGTGGAAGCCGTTCGGCAAGATTATTGTTCCCATCGCATCAGGGAGGTTACAGGAACTACAGATCGTGACCGCAATAATGGATACAGCCCTAGGTGCTATGGCTGTGAGGAAAAGGGCCATCTTCGATCCAGCTACCTTAAGCGAACTGTAGAAAAGCAAGGTGATCGATCTCGAGAGGGTAGTGCGGCTGACGGCCCCGTCCAGCAGCAGCAGGATCATCGTTCCTCTCACATTAGGGAGGTTGCAGCAGCTACAGTTCGCGACTGCAATGAAAGTTACCGCCCAAGGTGCTACAGCTGTGGGGAAAGAGGCCATCTTCGATCTAACTGCGCTAAGCGAACTGTAGTTAACAGCACCGCCCAGCAGCAGCAGAAATACGACTTTGTGATCGAACAACCTTGTGGTCAAGAATGCAAGCATTGTACTAGGCAAGAGGGTAAGGAAGTGATGTTTGTGAGGATGCTCTGCACAGACAACCTCAGCAACGAGTGGAAGGACAGCTTACAACATGTACAACAGGAAGGTCCGTACGTCAAGCCTTCATAAAGCCTTGATGTACGGACATCCAGCCGTGCATCAAGATTCTGGAATGGATGAAGGCCCGTGCTCCCAAGCCCAACTGGAGCAACGTCTCAGCGATGAGCTCGACCACGAAAAGCTATTGGGCCCAATGGGACAGATTGCTGATTCAGGATGGAGTTCTGTGCCGTAAATGGGAAAATGGTCGGGGATAGAGCTGTCATTTGCAAATGGTTGTTCCTAAAGCTAAAGTACTAGATGTTCTACAGCTGTACTATAATGGTTGCTCAGGAGTCCATCTGGGAGTTAAACGAACTCTACTGAAGATCCAAGAACGGTTTTACTGGGTCCATTGTCGAGACGATGTCGAGGACTGGTGTCGCAAATGTACAAGTTGTGCGGCTGTGACTGTGACCTCAGACTCGTAGTAGACGTGCATTGAAATTGTACAATGTTGGTGCACCATGGGAGAGGATAGCCCTTGACGTTGCGTAGCTGTTCCAGAAAGGTGCAAGAGGTACTTCTTAGATCGCCAATCGACTGGTGAGTTATTATGGGGCTCGGGACGAGCATGTCTTAGGGGCAGTGTTGCGCGCCGTAGTTGATGTTTTTGCTACAGTATTTACATAAAGATCGTTTAATGTATTTGTATAATTTTATTTTTAAATTCATTGTTTTATAAATATTTTTCTTTCCATAAATATTCTTCTTTCGTATATATGTCGATTTAAAACATTTAAAGTTAAATTAGCGTAGTATTGTACCTAGTTAATAATTATCATTTGTAAATAAGGGACATAAAGTGAAACCAGTTACGAAAAGTAAAACACGTTCATATAAATCAAACGCCCAACATATGAACGATATTAAAAGGTTTTACTTATTACTATAACTATTAATTATTACTAAATAATAATTATTTATTTTCACAACAATAAACCTATGAATTTTAGCAACGTAGTTTAGTTTAGTTTAAAGTTTTCGAGAGTGCCCTGGTTCGATTCTGGGAATATGAACTCAAATTTTCTTTTTTGCCTTTTATATATTTAGTATTATATATTTAGATACATTTATTAATTAAAATATAAGTAAAAAATTATTAATGTATTTTTTTAAACCCATGAATTTTAAATACATAGTTTGTTACAGTAGTGACTGAGTATTCTAAAAACGTGTAATTTGGATTTGACGAAGAATGAATTTTCAGCTTGCACTCGAGAGTGCCCGGGTTCGGTTCCAGGAATGAGAAGTCAAATTCTCTTTTTTCTATTTTACAACATTTTATATGCAATTACCAGTCCGTACTGGTTTACATAATGATTTCTTATATTTACGCGAACACTACACATTGAAATAATACTAGTTTTTACGGAATTTATCGCGTATATTTAACTTTTTAATTACCCGACGTTTCGTTAAAGGATTCCTACCATTTTGTCAGCGAGATTAAAGACCTACATCTGGCAGACAATGAAACTATGGTCAGTTTTGATGTGCAGTCATTGTTTACATGCTTACCTGTTGAAGACTGCATCTCAATTGTAACTAGAAGGCTGGAAGAAAACAACATGCCCGTAGAATATGCAGTATTACTCAGACACTGCCTTACATCTGGCTACCTATTGTGGAAGGAGGAGTTCTACAAGCAAGTAGATGGTGTGGCGATGGGCTCACCTGTATCTCCCATTGTCGCCGACATATTCATGGAAGACTTTGAGGAGAAAGCCCTGCTTAGTTCTCCCATAAATCCAAGGTTCTACAAGCGGTACGTAGACGACACTTTCACAATTCTACCTTTAGATAAAGTAACTGCATTTTTAGACCATCTTAATTCTATAAATTCTAAAATTCAGTTCACAATGGAGTTAGAGGCAAACAATTCCTTAGCTTTTCTAGATGTGTTAGTAATTCGGAATCCTGATAACACCTTGAGCCATACTGTGTATAGAAAAAAGACCCATACAGATAGATATTTAAACGGTGATTCTCACCACCATCCTTCACAGTTAGCTACCGTGGGTAAATCTTTGTTTCAGAGAGCACGAGGGATCTGTGACAGTAAACACCTGGCTGCAGAGCTCCACCATGTCAAGCAAGTTTTGCATGACAACAAGCTTCGAGTCCCGCGCCTACGTCACAGTGAACGAGTGAAGCCGGCCACAGTTGAGCGTGTACCTGCTGTACTGCCATATGTTAGAGGAGTCACTGACAAGATTGGCTACATCTTGAAGCGCGCTTCCATCAAAACATACTTCAAGCCGCTGAAGAAAATTGGTCAGTTTTTATCATCGGTCAAGTGTAATGTCCCTCTGCAAGATGCAGGAGTGTACAAGCTTGATTGTGAATGTGGTCTCTCCTACATAGGACAAACTAAAAGATCAATAAAAACCCGCGTTTTAAAGAACATATAGCTGATGTGAAGAATCGACGCTCCGGGAAGTCTGCAGTCTGTGAACACGTACAGGATCGCCCCCGTCACTACATCAGATTTGATAGACCGCAGATCCTCGCTAAAGAACACCGATTCCTTCCAAGGATGATTCGCGAGGCTATTGAAATCAAAAAACATCCTAATTTCAATAGAGAAGATGGCTGGGTGCTACCATCTGCTTGGGATCCTATAATAAATAAAATTAAATCCAAACCCAAGCATACAACTGCAAGACTTCAAGATACCATAAGTTCATACTGCATAGATCGGAACAAAAGTTAAATTTTAATCTATGGTAACCGCGGTTAACTATGACATATGGACGTTGAACATCTCAGTCCTGCCCGTGACCATGAGTGCTGTAAAGCGTTCGAAACGTCGGGTAATTAAAAAGTTAAATATACGCGATAAATTCCGTAAAAACTAGTATTATTTCAATTGTTTTAAATCTAATTGATATAAAATATAACCAATAATTCAGAAACAAACATTTGTCTTTACACTTTTCTAACAAATTAACTTCCCTCGCTATAAAATATGTTAAAGATTTCAATTAATCGATGTAATTTAATATTCAATTAATTAATTTTAAAAATGCAGAGTAATAATGTGTCACAAGTCATAAATAACTTTGATTGGTGATTTTTTATCTGTGTGCATTATGGCTTCTGTTTATTTATAATCTGTTTGAGCTCGACTATTTAATTTGGTCGTGTTATACTTCGCAATCGCAAAGACCTATTGACCTTATTCATTAAGCGGCCGACTAACTTCATTTCGTCTTAATACAAAAAAAAATGTTTTTGACGGAAGAAGTCCCGCTGAAATAATAATCTGCCGGCGTCTGTTTTTCCGTGCGATTACAATCTGGGCGGCTTTAAGTCAAAAAAGTTATTTTTGTTACCTGGTAGAATTGTATCCAAACACTGGTTTATAATAATTAAAAAAATAACTATATGTCTACACTAAGTTGTACTTTCAAAATCACCAGCCCTTCGAGTACGTTCACCCTAAAATACTAGGGTCGAAATACCTTTAAGTGTTTTCTTTTGCAATTGCAAAATAAATCGAATTTAAAATAATTGCACTGGAAAACTATCTGAACCTCGATGCAAATAAGGAACTAAATCGTATTTGCGAAAAAATATTTCTATCCTTCTAATTCATCGTCGTTTAATCAGATGGGGTATATTCTGAATTATAAGGATAACAAAGTTCAGTTTAGGATGTCACAGTTCACAATACGTCACACACAAGTGTTTTACCGTTCACATTGCCGAGTTAAAGAGTAACCGAAAAAAAAATACCTTTAAGTCTTAATATGAGTATTTCAGGTTAAACATAGTCGGCATACTTGTTAGCAAATAACTGGTACCTAGTCGCGTAAATACGCACCTTCCCTAGTTCACCTTGATTGTATCTTGACATCACCGTACGCAAACCGCACGTATGTGGGTCGCTTAAATTATTTCGAGTTTGTTTTCTGTTTTCCTCACAACTTTATCAAAGTTCATTAAAACAGTAGCTCATTCTGTTAGTATACTATACAGTATACAATATTCGTAGGGAGTTACATTGCTTAGTCAAAACATATGGATATCGCAAAATGGGGTAAGCATTTAATTAGATTTTTATATACAAGAGAGGCCTTAAAAGTATTTTTCGTAGATTCGTAAACAATGTGATTCATGTGTGATAAGAGAATTAAAATGAATTAGATTACTTATTTCCTTATTTATTGCATTGATTACAATAACAATAAAATAATATTATAATATTATAAATGTTGCCATATAGAGGTTAAATTTCCTGAAAGTAATATAAGAAGTTCAAAAAATTTAAACAACACGCAATGATCATGAGCTGTGATGATCTTGTAAATTATTTTATTTTATCCTGATGATCCTGATCAGGATACTAGGATAAATTTATTAAATTATTGTATTATCATCGGTGCTATAAGTTGGCGAAAATTACATTAAAAGGTTTAGTTACATAGATTAATAGACATACGGAAGCTAATAAAGACTTATTAAGAAAGGAACTTTGCCATGAATTGCACCCAGCGTTTAAATTGAACGTTATACTCCATTCGCCTGAATGGGAAAATAATACCATGAATTGTCAGTGACCGAGCTCTGAGGAATTAATTGTTCAGACTAATTTCAGCCGCACAAATTCACCATCGCACATCGGGACAAAACGCGCGTTATCATCCATACCATCTGGATGACTGGCGGATTACCACTGTGCGATTTAAAAGAACTTTTATTCCTCGCACAACTTTCTTATGGAATCGGCTACCACCAGATATTTTTCCAGACAGATATGACTTAGGGACCTTCAAGAAAAGAGCCTACTCGTTTTTAAAAGGCCAGCAACGCATCTGCAATTCCCCTGGTATTGCAGTTATTCATGGGCGGCGGTAATCACTTACCGTCAGTATCATCATGCTCGTTGGCGTACCCCTATAAAAAATCCATGAAAATGGTAAAAAATTTAACTTTAAAAAAATATAGAGGCATTTGAATCGGTTCAACAGTTTCCGAGAAATCCATGAACTTACATAAAAATACATATAGATTGTGTATATCATTCATTTATTTACATAAAATTATATACATATGTGGCACAGTGCATCATCTTCTTCGAATTTAGGAAGAGATATTATCGGTTTAATTTGTTAATTAAGTAATTGTCCATTATTTACGTAATTTTGTTTTAATTAAAGCACGGTTTTATATTATGTCAACAATATTGACAAATTGTTATTTTACATAAACTAAATAATAAAATTTCACGGCTCCGTGGTGCAGTGACTTAGACAATTGAATTGAAACCCTATAATTGCACTATTACATTATCAAGCCTTGAATATAAAACCTCCTTCTTTTTGAACTTGCTCAATTTTTTTTTATTTTATGAAATATAGAAAGATACATAACATATACCGTGTAGTGACGGTATAAGATTATCCACTACCCGATATCATCCCGTGGATGTCGTAAAAGGCGACAGAGGGCACAACTCAATCAACTCAGACAGAGGGACAAATCAGGAGATGGGCAGAAAAACTGCGTTTGCTAACCCAAAGCGTGGCCACTATGCCAAATATCCCACTAAAATGGCAATCTTATGATCTCATGATCTCTGAATTCCTTCAGCAGTGAACTTTAAAAGCTTATAATGAAATATAAATTATATATATATATATATATATATATATATATTATATATTATCATCGTCATTGCAGCCCTTCACAAGTCCACTGCTGAACATAGGCCTCCCCCAAGTAATGCCACAACCATCTAGTGGGGGGTCGCCCTACACTACGCCTACCGGTACGAGGCTGCCACTCGAGAACTTTTCTTTCTATATATATATATATATATATATATATATATATATATACATATAACATCTACTACATATACAGACATCTCGTTATGAATTTCTAAATACCTTAAAACAAGAGTGTGGAGAGACAACAAGTCGGGTTTTTTATAGATAACGGAGCACACATTTCACCTTATGGTAGGTGGGTGCTGTAGCGCTGTAGCCCGTAGACATCTACACGTATCCTCAATTAATAATTAAAATGCAGATGCCTTGTCACCCCCGAGGAGTAAGATGGAATGCTTCATATCTAGTAAAAAGGGTCTCTGATTCTCTTCAGTCACTAAACGAAACACAGCAGCATTGAACTGCTATTTTACGCTAGTATTCATTGCCAATGATGACTTATGAAATTGAGACGTGGTCACTGATTGTTTGCCATATATGAATTCCTAAAATCACCCAGCGACCTATGAAAAAGGCTATGCATGGAATTTATCTGAGTGATAGAATCGGAAACGATGATATCCGAAGTAAAACCAGAGTAACCAACTTAGCCTATGGTATGTGCCAAATCGATTGAGAAAAACGGACAATAATCTTTCGGTCGTTTAACCAGGGGTTACAAACATTCAATATATAGGCACTGTTTATATGTAGCACTTTATTTATTTATAATAATTTTTATTATTATAATTGGGGTATCTATATAGTTTTCTCATCTGGTTGGGTTCTATAAATATATAATTATAAATTAAAATGAAAAGATAAATATACATAAATATAATTAAAATAAAATAAATACAAAAATACATAAATAAATAAAAGCCCAACCAGATGGAAGCCCTCGGCAGGGGAGACCAAACGGCCGAGGGTTAGGAGGAAAGGGAAAGAAACCGGCGGACGATGCGGGCGGTATCGAGGTTATTATTATTATTTTTATAATTATTGGAAAAATGTATATTTATTAACTATTATTAAAAAGTTAAGTTAAGTTGTAAAAGATCGCTGTAGAGGAAAAATCATCTACTATTATAAAGTACTTTACTCATTTAACAACAAAAAGCATTAATTTATAACACATAAAGATTCTAGTGATAACGATACCGAATAAGTACGTACTTATTCAAAATATAAAACTTTATTTTCAATATTATATAAGAACTTTATTTTTATTCGGTGCATCCGAACCGGCCCAAAAAAGGTGAAGCATCTCTGGCTGCCATTGTCACGTTTCTTTTAGAACGAACTGACGTAACGCGCGGTTTGTTTATTTTAAAGGGATGAATTTGCAAAAGCTCAATATGGTGATTATATTGCTTCAATTATTTTTTTAATATGAAACTGTTATTAAATGAATTGCTGCGTTACTTACCATAAATTGAAATATAACACATTTTCGCTATGTACCGTAAGATTTTACGATGTTTATAGGAACCACAGACAATATTATTTAAGAAACAAAAAAACAAAAAATATGTGCTGACCTAGAAGTGTGAATAATATCAATATTTAAATATTGTTATCACATCTAAATTGAGATTTTGTAAGTTACGGCTTTTGACACTCGGCTCATTTCTGAGGTCATTGTCACATACAATATCAGTAATGACCGTCAAAATAACCACGGCACTGAACGTCATTCATTATACCAACGTTGTTACTCCAACGATACCGCTATCGTCTTCTAAGGCTTATTGTGGAACGAAATTCTGTATAGCACTGAAAGAGGTCTAACACAGGTCTGTAGTTGGCTATAAAATAATCTCTTAACCCTATAAGACAGCAGCCACTGCGCCAGTTCAAAATACGGAGGTTAAGACCCATGAGTCTTTTTGCACAGTAAACCGCGTGCCTGTGAGACTTTGAGTACTAGATGCGATGTCATCAGATATCTCAGTGGTTTTTGATATCTTTCAGCTCGAGGTTGAGGCAACGAGGGCAGTGCCCTGAAATTGAGATGATCTGACAAACGGATTCTTATTAGCGGTAAACGCAAACTTCTGTCATCTGACGATTAAACTGGATTGGATTTCATCGCACTCAATCAAAGAACAATGTCTCATATTGGGGCGACTAAATCTTCATCCATTTAATAATGACTAAATCTTCATTCATTCATTAATGAATCAATGAAGATTTAGTCGCCCTCAATCCGAGACTTTGTTCAACAAAAACTCGACTTCAGACACAAGTCTATTCCGGCACTCGACGACGTGTTCACCAGAAATATTAGTACGGCCGGTGTAAGACAATGTAGCATGGTGTAACACAGTGTAGCATGATGTAGCATGGTGCAGCATGGTGTGCCACGGTGTAACACGGTGTAGAACGGTTTAGCACGGTGCTAACATTTGGTACTTTTACTTTTGGTACGTTTTCAATACAACTGACAGGCGTGACGATTAAGTAAAATTCTTTAAGAGTGGGAGAAGTCATTATCCAGTCGTGGGCTTTTATGGACTATTAATAAAAAGAAAGGGAGCCTATGACAATTTTTTCTCCAAGTTCCAACCTAACTCGCACTCGTTTTAATGAGATGGCCATGCTGCAGCCATATTACGCTTGCAGCACCTATGTGTCAGCTGAGGTAGGACCACGGTCTCACATAATAACAGCGTAAATGCAGCCCTGATGCTGCTCTGTTTTGCATGACACGAGGAATTCCATCTTAACTTTCAAAGGTGACAACGCATCTAATTTTTGATTCTTAATCGAGGATAAATGTAAATATCTATGTGCCACAGCATCCTCTTACTATCAGATGGACTATGTGCTCGTTTGGCACGCTTATTCTTAAAAATAAACACAGCAGCAATGCAAAAAAAAACAGTGCAATTTCACGATGATATTCTGTGCGAACGTGGACCTTTCGTTATTTTGCTGACTAATTATTTTTACTCTTTTTCTTTCTAATTGTAATTTTAAGTACTGATTTACCACATTACTATACGACTAAGGAAAACACTTTGAGGAAATCTGCATATCTGAGAAATAAGAAATAAAAATATTTCGAAGACATGTGAAGTTCGCCAACACGCATTGGGGCAGCGCGGCGGATATTTCCTTGCCCAAAAACAAAACAATCTCCTCAGATATGAGAGGAGGCCTGTGCACAGTAGTGGGACATATACAGGCTGCATCTTTATTTTACTTTACTACTCTTTCTCTTACAGGTACTTCATCCTCCTTTTGACAGTAGTGCTCCTTCGGAGTATGATTGTGACAGTAACCGGGTCTACCATTACCGAAGCTCGCCCACCTCCTCGTGTTGATGATTTTGGTGTGTCATTTTTTCTTTAGGAACATTTAACAATAACCGTTAACGTTAGTGACTATTAAAGGCCACCCCCATAGTTGCCACGCTAGTTGCCAAGCGGTTTAGCAACCGCAGTTTTTAATTTTAGTTGTCATTATGTTATGATGTAGTGGATATTCTTACAGCGCCACTACACGGTATTTAACGATAAAGAGCTCACACACACACACACACACACACACACACACACACACACAAAAAACACACACACACACACACACACACACAGACACACACACACACACACACACACACGCACACACACAAACGCGCGTGCGCGCGCTCACGCACACGCACACACACACACGCGCCGCGCGCGTATATATAGTGTTAAACTGAGTATTTAAATATATATCTACATTTCTTCTAATGTACTTTTGACACAAATAGTTATGAAATAATGCCTCTTTCTGGTAAAGTGTAGGGTCCTGGTTCTATTTTTCCTTTCTTTATATTTAAGATTTTACATTTTTCTAATCCAAACTGCATATTTATGTCGTTACTGAATTTACTTGTAATATCTAATAAGATTTTCATGTCTATAAACGAACTGGCGTAAAGCTTTATATCATCCATGTATATCAGGTGTGATATTCTAATCTCTACATTAGAGAGTTTTACAAGGTAACCGTCCTTTTGATCATTAAGTAGACGAGATAATGGGTTTAGTGCGAGGCAGAACCACAATCGGCTCAAGGAGTCACCCTGGTAAATACCTTTCCGGATAGCTATATTCCTCGTATTGGGACTAGTGTTATTAGTATGCAAATGTAAAGAGGTCTTCCAGTGCAACATAACATTTTCCAAAAAATTAATTAAACTCGGGTTTATTTTATAAATTTTTAAAACCTGAATTAGCCAAGTATGAGGTACGCTATCAAATGATTTACTGTAGTCAATAAATGTGCAATGTAAGTTTCTCTTCCTTAAATTTGCGTGTCTATGAATGGTTGAGTAAATTATGGGCAGCTCCTTGCAACCCGTGTGGTTCCTTTTTGTTCTTCTACCATAATCATGTTAAGCTCTAGATGTGAATTTATATTTGCAGTGATAGTAGCGGTTAAACTTTGTATATTGTGGGCAGACAAGTAATTGGGCAATATTGGGATCGACTATTTGTAATATTACTTTTTGGAATCATATACGTTATCCCTATTGACCCACGCATCTATGCGATGCCACAGAGGTGTAATCACACCTAGAAATTCTTCGACTACGATGCAAGAAGAGCGAGCGGCGGCAGCGGGTGTCCCTTCGGCCATTTCTACCACTTCCATCTCGGCGGGGCGCGTTTCTTATTGGCCGGAAATCACGTCACATTCTAGACTTCTCCACCATATCATTTATTATGTGCTTTTACTACCGGGCAAAACCAGCGCTTCGGATCTCTACTGCCAACAACTAATGAGCAAGAAATTGAGAAAAAAAAAACACCGTAATTATAATATACATTTCACCCTCAGATTTTTATCTGTTTCGGTCGCTTCAGAATTCTTTAGGTGGTGTTAGGTTAACATCAAAAGAGGACTGTCAAAACTACTTGTCGCATTTTTTGATCAATAATTCCAATTTCAACGAGATTATGAAATATTCGAATAAAATGGCACATATATATATATATATATATATATATATATATATATATATATATATATATATATATATATATACGTACGCGGTCCCATAATGAATTGGCCTAACTATGAACCAATGAAGGAAATGAAACGAAACCAATTTTATTTTTGAATATAATCACCATGGATACTAACACACTTCTGACATCTGTGAATCAACATCTCTAAACCTTTATAAAAATAATCACATTTTTTATCCTCAAAATGACTGAAGACGGCCGCCTGCAACTCTTCATCGCTTGAAAATTTTCTTCCTCTTAAGTCCCGCTTTAAATTTGGAAATAAATAATAGTCGGACGGGGCCATGTCTGGACTGTAAGGTGGATGTTGAACTTCTGTGAACCCGCATTGACGAACTGCATCCTTCGAAACACCAGCGGTATGAACAGGGGTGTTGTCATGGAGCAACAGGACACCTTTAGACAGCTCGCCTCTTCGTTTTTCCTTTATCTTGTCTCGTAATTTATATATTAAAGAAGCATAATATTCGCCGTTCACGACTGTATTACGTTCTTTAAAATCCACCATCAAAATGCCATGAAACTCCCAAAATATTGTGCACATCAGTTTTTTAGTCGATTGTTGCACCTTTGCCTTTCTAGGGGGCTTTTCACCCTTATAACGCCATTCCATTGACTCGCGCTTGCTTTGTGGATCATAATACAAGATCATAGTTTCATCACCAGTCACTAGCCGCTCGATCACAGTCTTTGGATTTTCGCCACAAAGATCCAAAAACTCCGAAGCGCAGCGCACTCTTTCCTGTCTCTGTACCGCTGAAAGAAGTTTCGGTACCCATCTTGCACTCACTTTTTTCATGTGAAGATGTTCATGGATCGCGCGATGAACGGTACTCTTAGAGCAAGCCTTGCTGCAATTTCTCTAATCTTCAAACGGCGGTCACTCAGAACCTCCTCTTCGATAAGAGCAATCGTTTCGGGAGTGAGCACTTCCACAGGTCGACCGTCGTGGCCAAAAACTTCGACGGTTTCTCTCCCGAGACGAAGCTCTTTCACCCAATTTTTCACTGTGCTATGGGAGGGCGCAGACTCCTTACACGCCATCTAATCGTTCTTTTATTTGGGCAGGGGATAAACCTTCTTTAAACAGAAACTTTATGACACTTCGATACTCAGTTTTCGACATTTTGAAAAAAATACGCGACTCTCGTTATTCAAATATCTGTTAAACTAAGACTAAGCATTTCATGTCGATGCATGTTTCTTATATTAAGTGCACGATAAACATACTATTTAATGCAACACAACATGTAGCGACATGTCGCGTTGAACTATATCAGGCCAGTTCATTATGGGACCGCCTGGTATATATATATATATATATATATATATATATATATATATATATATATATATATATATATATATATATATATATATAGAATTAAATGTATTTAAACTTGGAAAAAAAGTTCTTTAATTTTTATATAAAATACGAAGACACTTTTTCCCCCGACCTTTTAGTATGGATCTATCAAATATAATACAGGCGTATCTACGGGACCAACAATGGTGCTTGTCGCTCATGACGTAGCATTTGTTCTGCTCATTTGCGTTATGTTGATGTAAAGAAATTTTATCCATTCCGCTCACACTACACTATTGCGCTCGACAACCCTCAAAGGACACAGGTTTACGCGTTTACCGCTAAAAAGAACCCATTTGCCTTATCTCTTCAATTTCAGGGCACTCCCCTTGCTGCCTTAGCTAGCATTGCAATCCGAATCATTGACGTATCGAATAATGTGCAGTTTCTTCCTCACTTAGAAGGGAAGGCTAAGCTGGTCTCTAAAAATCTTGGCGTGCACAGTATAGCGGGACTGTATTTCATGGCGGCACATCGCTTACAACTTTACAAGGTGCAAGTTTGGCCTCCCATAGAATACTGTTTTCATCTCTGGCCCGGGGCACTTTCGGACCAGCTTTATCCACTAAAACTGCATCCAGCGCAGAACAGCACAAATCATCGACGACCGAATTCTTTCTGATTGGCTCGTTCACTGACTTTGCGTATGGATGTTTTATTGCTTTGTATTTTATCGCGTTTACCACGGGGAGTGCTCTGAGTGCTCGGATTAATTCCAGCCGCCAAAATTCACGAACGCACATCGTGACGAAACTCACGATACCACCTACACCATGTGGATAAACCACTCTGCGTTTTACTAGGAGTTTTATTTTTCATATGACCTCTATGAGGATTTCTTTACCACCGGAGATTTGCCGGACCGATATGACTTAAGGAACTTCAAGAAAAGAGGTTTTTTGATTCAGAATTCTGGTTTGGACAACTTTAATTATTCCTGCCATGTTCACTGACCTCGACAATCATTCATGTCTTGGTATTTTTTTTACCGACCTGTAAGCAACAAAATACTGTCTTTTTCCTTCTTACTTCTCTACTTCATTAGTGTCAACAAAACGAAATGTAAGTGATATGAGTCGATGACCAGTGCCCAATGAGTTTAGATTGATTTCGCCCCCCCCCCTCGATGACGGCACCCAGTGCGGTCGCACCGCTCACACCGCCCTGGGGCCGCCACTGTTAATTAGCATTTAATTTTATTTACCATATAGTCGCGGTGTAAGAATATCCACTACCCCATCATCATCCCGTGTCGTAAGAGGTGACAGAGGGAAACAAATCAGGAGATGGGCAGAGGGGCCTCCCTGTAACGACTAATAATAAAAAATTGTACTCGTCAACCGGCAATCAATGAAGGAAGCCTATATTTTTTATAGGATAAGGTTTAAACGAGCACACAGTCCACCTGATGGTAAGTGGTTGATATGGCCCATAGACATATACATTTATCCCCAATTAAGAATCAAAATGCAGATGCGTTGTCACCCGTGAGGACTAAGATGGAATACCTCGTTTCGAGTAAAAAGGGTCTCCGGTTCTCTACGCTCACCATACAAAACACAGCAGCATTAAGCTACTATTTTACGCAGGTATTCTTTGAGAGCGTTGTACTTCCCCTGATCGAGCCGACCCATTCGTGTACCTATACTATTATAACTGCAGATGGCTTACCACGTATAAATAAGCAGTAGACTTTTAAATGCTGTAGCGGTAGCAATAAAAGGGAACCAGAGTCTTGGATTATCCCACTGTTACTTTTATCACATTAAAAAGGTTTCTTTAAAGGTAAAACTAATATTGTGACGTAGGCGTTGGTCTTCTCCAACACACATTTGAAGCATGAGAAAAGGTTGAAAGTCTGGTAAGTGCAGGCGGGTTACTTTATAATTATTATTTACAAGGCTAGCAGTTGAAAAAAACTGAGACAGAAACTCTTTTATTCAA